GTTTATTTGTTGTTTAAATTGTATTAGAGGCTATTCCCCCATGCTGTTTGATTCCCCTGTGTCAGGGTATGGCAGGGCCTGGAACTGCTGCCAAGTCACAGCGGGCATTGGAAGCCTCCCCATCTCTCATCTCTGGAGACTCTCTCCAATTTCATTGAAACTGTAAAAAAACCCACTGTCTGAATGTGCAAACAGAGGGAGCTTCCCCACACAGTGGGAAGGGTGAAGATGCATTATCCTTACCATGTATTTGTTTCATAGATTTTGAGTAACTCATCCCGTTATGACCTGTGTAATGTATCTTGATGACGATTAACTTTTTCCTCTTTGGGGGGATCTCAAGTTGTTTACACCTAATGAAATGCTCCCTATATATTTATATATGTACACACACACATGTATACATACACATATATACACACACATACACACATGCAAAATAATGTCTTAGGGACTTCATTCTCTTAGGCCAAAGCCAACAAAAGATGGTCTATAAAGAAGGAAGGCAGGCTTGCTAACAACTTGAAAATAGGAGATTACCGCTAATGAAGGACAGAAATTGCTCCTATGAGAGTCACCTGAATTTTAAAAACATGTATGATTTAACCCACAAGTGAGTATTGTGCTCACAGTTTCAGAAATAAATGCTATAAAATTATTCCTTAGAGCAATGGAATATTATGGATTACCTTGGTAATTAATGAAATTGATCAAAGGTTGCTTAAAAGATTTAGATCGTGAGAAAGATGCATAAGTAGTTTTTTCTGCACTTAGTTTGAGATCATTTGAGTGCTGTGCTCCCTTGGCAGGAGATGTGCCAACAGGTTCCCCCACCTTTGTAAGACCACGGGAAAACAGATTCCTCCAGGAATTGCCACACAGGCACCTCCTTGTGGTGCTGAATCCCGGGAGCTGAAGCTGTAAAAGGAATGCTATCTGAAACTCTGTTGAGAATTTGCTTCACCTTCTTTGAGAAAAGCTCCCAATAGATGTACTTGTGGGAATCTACTGAGGAACAAACCTCCAGCAAGAAGTATGACTTGCCAAGGGATTGCAGAACTGCTACCCTAAATCAAACATTTGTGCTACTCGGACTGTGTATCTCTCCAAGCTCTAAACGTCTTCATAGTGCATGATCAGGGATTAATATAATGAGGATCTAATCTGGAAACTATAGCAATAAAAAGTTATACATATATTTTTATATACAAACACACAGCTGTCTATTCAAGAGACACAAATGCAGTATGTCTCTGTATAAAACTGAGGATGATATCATTACATGATAGAAATACTTAGGGACACGTGAACTGGAGGATATTTTAGACATAGTGATCAGTTGTTCCCCACGCTTTGGTTCATTTGAAACAGAGTAGTAAATCTGCCTGCAGGTACACAGTGATGGCATTGCTGTGGCTCAGATTGGCAGAAAAATCAAATTAGAGTTCAATAGTCCTACAGCGAAATTAATGAATGTTATGGAACTTTGTCACAGCTCAAATACTAGCATTCCAGCCTTAACTTTTTTACTACAGAGCCTAATATGATTTGAGAAATCCTTATACATGTCCCCACAGGGTATATGACATGCAGATGACATCCAAAATGTTTTATTTGCTCACAAATAAAGGACGAACAACTTTTTGACAGTTAGGATACCCAAATTAGTGAAAATGAAATTCTGCAAAGGCAATCAGAAGAAAAAAGTTGTGACTTAGGTAGAACTCAATATCTTTTTTGAGTAGTACTTAAGGGAAAAGTCACAGAACAAAAGTTCACTCTCCACAGTGAGTGCAGAATTGCAGGTTAAAGCCTGATTTTTACTCATTTTTCTCAGAGGAATTTTTCCTTTATTATATGGAAATAAAAAGAGTGTTTTCTTGTTTTGGAAGCTGAAATATTTTATTTGTGAGTACCAAGCTGTAATCCCACAGTGATTATGTGCCCAGTGGAAAGATATTAGCTAGTTCTATAAAATAAATGCCTTTACATTACATACTAGATGATAAATTGAGAGGGTAGGTAGATTTTTTCCCCTGAGGAAAAAAAGAAATTAAAAACTCCTCAGTAAAGCAGGCAACCCCCCAACTATATGCTTCCCAAAGGAAAATTTCTTCTGCTTCACAAAGAAATACTAGATAGATAATTTAATGGACTGTAATAAGATGCACTATTTCTTCACAGAAGAGATAGAAAAGATAGTGATTTTCATGACAAGTGGTAGGAGAACAACAAAAATGAGAGAAGATCTCTGATGTCACTGCTCAGTTACAAAAATGCTGCTAAAAAAGATAAAGTATTTCTGAATAGCAATATTGTCTAACCCAAGCTTAAGCAACCAGAACAAGAGAATTAGTACAAGGGTTGAAGGGAAAAAAATCCCCAACCAAAACAACCCCCTAAAAAACCTCAAACCATGTTCCTTTGATTCAATAATTTTATTCAGTTTCTGTCCGTTATATCAATGCCAATGAGAGAGACCACTGGTTAGCCTGGGCTTGACAGAGCCAAAAGCCTTGAGAGCTAAGAGGTAATTATAAACAAACCAGAAAGAAGAAAGTCAGTGGTGCCTCTTTAAAGCTTTTAAAGATCCTTACTTACACAGTTATGAAAGTTAGCTCAAAGCATGTTTTTTCTGGTTTTCACTCCTGATGATTTCTTTTTAAGGGAAAATAAAGCCCGTTGAAAGGGTTACTCATAGTGATTCCGTTAATAAGTCTGTAAAAAATCTGGCCTGTATTTTTATTTCTGTTTAACAAATGAATGCAAAAAATATTGTAGGAAAACAATCAGTGAAGAAAGTGCTGGAAGAAGCTTATATGGCCCTTAAGTCAATTTGCTGGTCAAATTTGACAGTGACCTTTCAAAAACCCAAACAAAAACAAACTCAAAACAAATCTCCAACTTTTTGCAAAACACCCCCCTTGCACCCCCTGCAGATGGGTACTATTAAATGATAGCAACACATAGGTATCACTTTCCATTTCATCAAGGTAAGGTTATCTCGGACATCAACAAATTCTCTGGAATGCTTTAAACTGGAGACTTTGAAATGGAGACATCTGTCTCCATTGGCTCACTGGGGTCATACTGCTCTGCCTTTTCCTTCTTTCCAGCAGTACATGCTATAAAGGCATCTGCAGCGTAGGCACATGGAGTTCTTTTCGTACATTCTTGTCCTACCAGAGCAATACCTGTGCCTGCACCAGTGAAGTTAATGTAACCACAAACTGAAAAGATGCTCTGTATAAGCACTGATCTGTAACAATGCAAATTGGTGCATTTACTGATCCCTCTACTCAAATATTGCTCAGATACTAAAAAAGAAAAACAGTGCTCTACACTTCAAAATTCAGCTGATGTGGGCTGAATCCTTCTTAAATAGATATGACTATATTTCAATGTCTTTTGTGATTATGACAATTTTGACAAGATAATCATCTCCTCTGAACAGGACTTTTTAAGGTTTAGAGAAATAATGTAAGATTTATTAAATAATCTGTCAAATTATCTATGAACCCTGCTTTCAAAAGAAATCCTATGATCTCATTAAAGCAATTACAGAAAATCTATGCCTGATATTATAAATAACAAGTACCAGGTACACAAAGGAACTAAAAGTACAGGAACTTGCAGGATTCAAAAGGTGATAGCATTGCTTTGTTCTTTCAACATAGAAAACAGAAGTTTCCATGTTAAATATCCCGCACTCTAGGTCAACTTTTGAACAACAATCTTCAAAATGGAGAGAAAGAAACAAGTCTGTAGCTATGGTAAAATGAAATAACCTAGATATTTATGCTGCAGCCTCATTTATTTTTTCTTTCTTCAAACTTTGTTGCCTCTTTTCTCATACTGTTTTTGGAGAAAAGCAAAAGCCAACTCTACACAGCACAACAATGACTCAGAAAAAGAAGCAGAGGTACAAGCTAAAATCACAGGAAGGGTCTTTAAAATTCCAAACATCATATCAATTTGAGTTTTATATATTCAGGTTTCTTTTACAGCAAGATAGAACTGGGCAAAACAGGGAAGAACAGTATGGTGTTTAATTTCCTGTAATATAAATATAGTAGGCAAGAGAAAGAGGACTGGAACAACTCTGAATTCTCTGTGAGGGTTGCTTCCTTTTAACTCCTGCTGCCATTGATTATGGCTTATGATGATGACTACTCTAGTAGTCAGCACTGCACTTAAAAAATTCAAGTACCTTCTGCATCTCACACTGGGGAAGTTACCCTCATTTAATTGAAAACTCCTGCTTTTGGAGAGTAAAGGGTGAAGTACTCTACCAGCGCAAGGTTGGTGATAACGCAGGCAAAGCGTGTCAAGACAAAAACCCCACAGTATTATCTGAGACAAAGCTACAGATATTGAAGGTTTTCCACCTAAGCTACCTGAAGGACAATGCTGTTGTGATGCCATCGTGTTGGAGCATGACAGAACTGATGCTTCTACCTGTCAGTAACCTCATCAGAATAAGCCCCTGTATGATTCCCACTGACTGGAGTTCTACATTACAACCACTCCAGCAGAAGTGGTCCCTCTCACTCGGTGAGAATGAGGGCTCAACAGACTATGCACAAATCTATTCCAAGTGTAAAATGGCATTTTATTCACCATGAAATCAACCACTGTGTTTCTGAAGAGCTATTTAATGCTACCAGGTTAGTTCTTTCAGAGGACATTCAGAAAATTGTTCCAATACTTCATAGTGATAGATTATTACACAAATATATAAATAGTATGAGTTATTTAAATAGCTGAATGGTTAACTGAAATAGAATTCCAACAACCATTTAGAAAGAGGTTTTAAGCGTAGAAGGCTATCTTCTCCAGGGAAGTGAAATTTAAAAACATGAAAATCAACTTCACCTATTTTTTTTTAAACTTATTTTAAAATAGTTTTTCCTTTAAGAAGAAAAAAAACAGCCAAAAAAATTATCCAGCAGTATAAAAAAAACCATGCAGACTTCGAAAAAGTTTAGATGACAACTCACCAGTCTCTTCACGATTCTCAACAAAAGCTTTAGTTGTCGTGTATCTTTTTTGGACTTCAGTACTTCAGCAAAGCTGTCCATGTCTTCTGGAGACATACTGTCCTGACTGTTCCCTCCATAGAGCTGAACCAGCAATGATAAGCACTGTGAAGCACTCAGAAATATTTCAGTATCTTCACTGGGAAGCTAAAAACGAACAAGAAATGAACAAACAAAAATTATATTCCAATTTCAGAAAAATTGCATATCACCGGGGATTTGGAAGAATATTAACATTTGCATTGTACCAGGAAAGGATAATTTCTAGTTGACTGACTCAGAATTCCATTAAACTAAGTTTAATAAAGTGATGAAAATATAATTAAAATATACCTGTTCTTAAGCAGCAGTGTAACAATGTCTCTATTATGATTCTGTCAAATAACCTAGCTATAGCAACATCACAACAGCACTGGAAATGTTGCTCCCAACTATTTTATTCTGCTTTAAACAGAAGTAGGAATAGCAGAAAGTGTCATTACAGTCATGATGTCTAATCTTCGACATCATGCACACCATAAAATATCATTTAATTATTTCTAAATCAAGCCTATGGCTTCTGGTTGAGGTAGAGCACAGGCTACCTAGTTCTTTAATGGATTTTAAGTAGTCACATTAGGAGGTACATTTTGAAGATTTAAAATATTTTCCTAAATTCCAGCTTTTCTGCACTCCTTTGAAGATCAGACATTGCAGTAGGCCCTAGCAATGGGATGGAAAATTCTTTCCTGGGAAGCAAAATTACAGAAGACATGACTAGTAATCACCTTTAAATGAGCTTCTGATAGTTTGACACTGCTATCAAAATGATTGATATCTTTTTTTAAATTACAGTCTGGAAATAACAAGTAGAGATATTCCATTATATGATATTATGCCTTTACTTTGGCACTGACAACGACATTTTGCAAAAACAACACGAATGCAATGCCTAGTTTCAGCACAGAGAGTTCACAAAAGCTAGTGAAAAAAATCACAGAGGTTTCTTGGGAACAGGCAAGAAGATGATAGACTGGAAAACATAACAGTAAAGGACCGAAGGAATTCAATGTCTATAGAATATCAAAGGGAGGGTTAAAGGGCATTTGATCATATCCTCTCAGTTACATGTGAGAAAAAGCAGGCTGTGGATAGGTTAATTCCTTTACCTGAGAAGGGACTGGTAAGAGATGATAGCTCAAAACTTTGTACAAAGCAATTCAGATTAGAAGGAAGATAGTACTTTGATTTCTTTTTTTTTCTTTCTCTTTTTAATAAGAGTGATTAACCGCTGAAACAACTTTCTTAGAACTGTGACAGATTCTCCATCAAAGGCAATTCAAATATCACAAAATCCCCTTTTTTTTTTTTCCCTAAAAAAATAAAAACCCATTTACTATAATGAGGAATTAATTTAGCAAAGTCCTGTTTTATGTTATACACAATCCTCAGTTAAATGATTTCAATGGCTTTTTCTCACCTTACAGTCTATGACCTGAACAAAATATATGGGTAGTGGTCTTAAACCAATTAGGTACAGAAATATAAAACCACTTTATCACTCCTACTCAATTTTAATTCCAAAAGTACTATTTACAAACAAAGAAGCTAGATTAAAGTACAGTTAACAGACTATCCTTACTGACAATAAAAGGAAACAATTTATATAATCTGTCCAACTACTTATATAATATGCCCAACCATTTCAATAATGATTACTTATTTGATCTGCAGTATGAATTTCCTAAGTCTTTTCATTTTAAAGAAAACCCATCCAGTTACCTTATCTGAATCTTAATCTGATAACCTTAAACTGAACATACCATCAGACATATACCCCTCAAATATTTAAGCAGCAATTCTCCAGGGATCTGCATGCAAATACAATCCTGTTTTCCACTAGCTTAATAGAGTTGGCTGTTTAAAACAGACTGAACTGAGATGTAATCTCTGAATACATAGCCCCAAGACATATCACATTCTATTTGACCTAATACTGTGCAAGTGACAGGACCACAGCAGCTATTTCTTCCTCAGTTTTGCTGTATGGTTTTTCTTCCTTCCAATCTAAATGCCACCTATTTGATTATTTCCTTTCCAACATCCAGAATTATCTAATAACATCATCAACATAATTAGCAAAGTCAAAAAGCAGGAAAAGCTACACATAGTAACAAGCTTTATAGCTTCATTTGTGTCTTGAATCTTTATTAAATTAAAAAAAGAAATCCCCTGATCTCGCTTTGGGCTTTGAGCCGACTTGTATTTCCGTCACTGAAATAAAAATGCCATTAGATAAAGGAAGGACAAATTAAACTACTTTAACATACATCTCTCACATCTTTTAAAAGCAGCATTCCAACTTTCAGTTTGTAACTAAATCACTGCAGACAGGTATATCAACCACTCCGTGAAGAAAATCACAGTAAAAGAACTAATATTTGATTTTCCAATATTGTTTGTTGGCTAACCAAACAGAAAAAGTGAAACATCATGTGAAAGTCTTGGAGAGATACATTCTTGCCTGGGTATTGCAGTGCAGTTCCCTGGGTTCCACAAGCAAAAAAATACCATATTTAGTCAGTAATCACAACAGCCATACTTCAAAGTGAGACTGTTCCCAAGGTCTTTCCCTGAGATACTCACTCAATATCAAAGGAGTGGAAAGGTGTCAGTCTCAGTAGAGGACTGCCACTACAACAAACTTGTGTGAAGAAATACATAAAGCACCACAAACCTTAGAGGTTCTGCCCAACACCAGAAGGGTACGTGACTGTCAAGGAAGCAAATGAGCAAGTCCATCTGGTTAGTGCTACTCCCAAGGGAGGCTGATTTCAGTAGGAAACCCTAGTTAGTGAGGCAGTGGAACACTGCAACAGGCAAGAAGGAGCTCTGCTTGGGCTCATGGCTTTGCTTGTCTTCTCCTAGGGTATCCAACCATTTATCATTATTGTTGTTTTTATTTTTCCCCAACAAGAGAAAGGAAGACCCTTTCCATCTAATGAGAGGAAACTTTCCCTCCAGTGTGTCTTGCCAACATGCAGACTTGCTCTTCACAGGGTATCAGGCTTTCAGTGACCATTTTCCAAGTATCACTCCAGGGTTCCCAATACTTGCCAACCACGACATCACACCATTCAATCACAAATGTCAATGAATCCTCCATCCTCTGCTGCACTTCTGGCTCTTCTGCTTCCCCAGAGTCCCTCTGAGCTTTGGCGTTATCTGGACTTTGGGGAGCAAGTTGTTGTTATCCTGAAAACATTCAGGGTAAAACAACAGCAGCATAGGGCCTTGTATGAAGAGAAAACCACGTCTGGAATAGGAAAGACCATATTTACTCTGGAGAGAGTAAGAACATTTGCCTTCAGTCTAACTCATCAATAATTAAGGTGTAAGAAGAACTCTCAGCAATGTCCCTCTTTAAGTATGCCTGCATCAGCATTTTTCTCTGTAACTCTACTGACGAGTAGTGATTTGGATGTCAAAAGTTGTAAGCTGGTAACCTGAAATTTAGCATTGGCTGCCAGTCAGTGTTAGTACTGGCTACAGAGTATGGGATCTGAAGAAAATTATTGGTGGAAAACAAAAGCAATGACTGAAAATATAATAAATATCTGTAAACATAGAAAACCAAGGAATGAAAAATTCAGCTTTCAAGTAAATAACATCCCATATGTTCTATAAGACCAGCAAAGACAGAATCATGTTGTTCAACAATGAATATAGGTGGATGATTCAGCTCTTAATTAGCTGAAACAGCATTCTGATTATTTTTCTAATCATAATTCAATTTAGTATGAAGTACATTTCTTTCAAATACCTTTATAGTTTTTCATGACAGCAGATACTCATGTTTTTTTTCTTTCAGGGGAGGAGAAACCCCTGAAAAAACTAAATTAGAGTTCTAACACTTTAAGAAAATATCTGACCCTTAATATTTCATATTTACTTGAAAAAAGTCTAGTGGCCTTTCATTTCTTTTTGCTTTATCAGTCTTAGAGAGGATTAGGGATTCAGCCCTTCAGCAAGGTAGAAATGTTAGTAGTACTACTCCTGGCAGCTGTTATTATTCTGGGCTAATATATAGCTTAAAAATAAAATCAATTACTGAACAGCTAAGGTCATAAATTTTGCCATTCTTTAACTCACAACTGTAGATCTATTTTTCACTTATTTTAAAATAATACTGCACGACAAGACTTTCGTGCAATGAAGACAATGTATTACTCTTTACTTAATTTTTATGGCCATGTTATAACTTCCTCTAAACAAGCTTATAGCACAAAATTCTACTTCTCTTCCTTTCTAGATGGAACCTGCTCTGTGTGTTTTAATGTGTTGAAGAGCAGGAAGTTTCTCGTTATTGCATGTCTATATTTCTGCAATCTGTTCTCAAAAATTCCATCATTTTGAACTGAGTTGCAGTGTGTTCATGAATTGCAAACCGCTGCAAGAACCGTGTGATCATTTGAGCTGAAGTGGCAGTTTTCACACTGTTGGGGTTGTTACAGCATCTAATTTTAGAGTTACAATGAAACTGTCTGGATTACCCGGAGGGGACACTATTTCAGTGCATTAATGAGGTTATACACATAGTTTATTATGATAAGAGATAGATATCCATTAGATCACTAATGTGATTACAGAATGTGCTGTAAAGGAAGCACCATTGGGATCTACAGGGAAGATGATTTTGCAAACACTGAACAAAATGTAAAAGCAAAACATCACTATTAATCTGCTTGCTTCACTATGCTATTCTTATTAGTAAATATGCACAATTTTAAATTAAAAAGTAAGATATTTTGACTTAGGGCAGAATTGCCATTCTCTTACCTAGGGGAAAATATATAAAAAATATATAAATGTATTTTCAGTTCACTTTAATCTAGCCTAATCGTTGAGAAAGTAAATCCTCATTCTGAAATTCTGTGCATGTGACAACGTATTTCCTCTGGTGTGCTTGTTTGTTTTTTTGGTTTGTTTTTTTTTTTTAGGGTAGTTCTGTGTAAGAGAATTATTCAAATATAATTTCCAGGTAACATTTAAAATACAATAACAGCAATACATTATACAACACAGGAAACAAACATATGTCTCTCCACTCTGATCATGGAACAGTTTGTATTTCTAAGAACTGCAAAGTAAAATTCTACAGTCTCCAGGGTTATCATTCTTCTGCAGTCATTTTCATTATTGGGGGCAAATACCTTCATGTGCTCTGAAAACGAATTCTGGGCACAGTCGTAGAATCAGGGCAATACAGAGACAGAAAGGACCTAGGAGAGATCATCTCATTCATCCATGTGCACTGAGGCTTCATATTTGTCCTCTTCACACTCGCACATGATTAGCTGGACTTCCAACAGTAACATACAGAGCACAGTAAGCAACTGCAAACTTCACTAGTAATATTATGATGAAGAAACCTACCACCAGAAGTCAAGCAACGTTCTCTCTCCGCAGTTTGGTAGGCTGCAGAAAAGACTGGAAGATCTACACCTAGGAACTAACTGGGACCTGCAGAGAATGAAACTCCTTTTTATAGGTATTGGCAGATTTCTGAAAGTTTCTGAAAATCCACACTGAGGTGATTTCAAAAGTAAGTAAACATTAGGGTTTTTTCCATATAATGGGTACATCAAAAATAAGAGGGTATTTAACAACTTGCATAATTGTTGCAAGTTGCAGTATAACATTCAAATTACATTTATGTTAAGTGGAGAAACATTACCCAGCAAAGGTAAGTGTAATTAACTTTTAGACACAAAACTGCCAAGGAGAAGACTAAATGCTCAATTTATTTTCCTCTTATTGATCAATTAAGGGTATAATGATCACGGGATTAAATATTGAATTCTCCATATTTGCAGTGTTTTCTGCATGATAGAATTTGTAATTATTTCTTCTTCTGCATTCTTAAAACCCTGAAGTTTCATTTACATGCAATCTAGGTCTCCTACAGCTGCTTTGCTATGCCTTTAGTGACAGACTAAATCACAACTACAGAAGGGAAAAATTGATTCGAAGTTTTTGAGATTTTCAAGTTTAACTCACATTGATTTTTGAGGGATTATTCAGAGAGAAAAACATGTAGAACTTGAGGAAAATAAAAAGACAAGTAAGTGGGGCATGTAATAATAACCTATTTGAGGGATATACATAACAACGAGGGAAAACATTTATTCAAGGTGACATAAGAAACTATAAATGTGGTAAGGCAGGCAGAAATAGCAAACCAGAGAAAATAGTTTTAACTCAATATCTGAAAGTAATGATCAGTTCAAAATCTAAGACCTCCATTATCTCTAGAAAATAAAGTTCACAAAGAACTGAATGCCTCAAAACAGCAATAAAGGGTTATGTAGCCACACAGCCCAGTGAATACAGAGAGCAACCTCTGGCAGCTAAAAGAAGTGGCACCAATGGTCTTTATTTTTTACCTGTATGTTAAAATCAGCAGATTTTAAATGAGCATTTAAAACATGCTGAAATCTCTAGAAGTACAGAACAAAGCAAAACCCAATGATAATTTGCAGCCCTGCTTCTGAAATACAAGGGCAAGTCACAATCTAATCAGTACATACTAACTATACAATTATCCTATCCTTTAATTAAAAACCTATAAAAGACTTCCAGGTGGTATAAGCTGAGTAAAACTTGGCTTCTAATTTTCTGTTCTTTAGAGAGTTAATAGAATTTAAATTTATGACTAGTTTCGCTTTAAAGGAACATTCGCATCTCCTCGTGTCCTACTATTTATCATATATAGTGATTTTAAAAAATTAATAAAAAATAAATTAAAAGAATTTATAAAGATGAAATATTATATAGTTGAAATTCAGTCACTTTGTTTTAGGTCATTCAGTGAACATTTCCAAAAAGCCTTTGCCAATATCTGGTTTAAGGAAATCCATCAAAGGAGGACTTAGCAACAATTATAATGCCAAAAATTAATAAAAAAGGAATCACACACTTCCCAAAATCTTCTCAGAAGATGAGAGACAGTGCTAAAGGTAGTAAAAGGACCACAGTAGTGATATCACAAAACACCTGAAATCCTCTATTTAAATGGAAAAAAACAAAAATCGTGTCTGGAAGAGAACACAGTGAATCTGAAATGCCTCTAAGTGAAATAACCGGGAGAGGATACTGTGATACGCCACAGGGAAATTCTCACATACCATTTTAATGGCTTTATATTGAATAAAAGGCTGATGCAGCCTCTAAAAGCCCTGTCCAGCTCAAGAAGCACTCCTTACTACAAATCATTACACACAGTCAATACAGATCTCTGGCACAGTATGATGGAGGTGGAGCTGATGGGATGCATCAGGGCCACAGTGCAGCACTCTGTGGAGATTTCAAGTGCTGTGACATCTAGTAAACCCTGGAAAGGACTGCCTTTAAAGAGACACACTTCAAAGATGTTTACAGATCACTGGGGACCACTCCCACTCATAAATCCCTCAGGGTCATGTTAAAATAAAAGAAAACCCCCAAGAAAACTCAGAAGGTTGAAACTCAAGAAAATAAAATTTAAAGGCATCACTCGTTGCAAACTAATTTTGCATTTGCTGCCTTTTGCAATGGTAGCAGTGCTATTAGTGTCACATTTTGAATACCATCCTTTCCATATGCAGTGATCACTAGCTCATTCCAAAGGCTTAAAATTTGGCTATACATATGTTTCCAAACTGAGAATCCACCCCTCATCCCATTTCTATGCTTAGAACAGACAGATTTACTCTGACATCATTGGTAACCTGCAAGTCACTGCGACCTAGAGCTCTTTACAAAGTGTTAAGAGTGGTAGGTGGTAGCCTATAAACAATGAAAAACCAGCAAACAGAGCTCTAAGATGATGAATTCAGCTGAATAATTCCAACTTCAGAAACATTCCAAAAGGCTTACAAATAAGCAAATTCTCACCAGTTGAATAAGCGGGCTAATTAGGTCCGTCAGGGGTTTATTGATAAGCAGAAGGTCTTCGGCAGCCTGTGTGTCCCCTCCTGTGCCAGATTTCTGTGCCTTAATAAGAGAGAAAAAATCAAAAGCGACCTTGGTGACTGTTCTGTTATGAGGAACAAATTAGGTCCATTAGGTGGTAGAAGTGTGAATGGAAGTTTGAAGGAGACTCGTGAACTCTTCTAGTTAAATATTCCTGAGCTCCCAATGCACCGTTATGCTCCCTGCGTCTGTGACAATAAGCACAAAGCAAAAGGGATTCCTGCTGTCATGCCCATTCTGCACAGGCTGAATATACTGACCTACATGACATTTCTTCAGCAAAATGCAATAAACTGTACATGTAAAAGATACCTCCAAAGTCATAAATGTTTCATTTATTTGTAATTTCTGTCAACATGACATACCTATTCTAACATTAAAGTTCAAATGGGTTTTTTTGCCCTTTATCAGGTACAATTTCACATGCAACTCAAACCAAGAAAATCAAGGTGACTGAAAATTTAGGATTTTCAGCAATATTGCCCAATTTTGCTCACCTACCTCACTCTGTATCCTGGAATATTCACAGTATATTACAATAATTAAAATTATTTTTGAAAGAGGAATAATAAAGTCTCCAAGTGACCAAAGTCTGCTACTACTTGTAGTTCTGACCACTCATGCCTCCACATCAAGACACACTACCAACCTAGGCAGTCTTATTTATGACCCCTCCCTGCCCCAGGGCACCAGAAAGGTTTGCTTGCAAGCTCTTTCATTTAACTTCATTATCTTGAACCAGCTTTGGACCATGACCTATATGGTCAATCTGCTAGAAGAAAAAGTAAACGTTTTGTCTAAAGAAGACATTTTAAAATAATTTTTTATTGTGTTTCATTTAAAGCTCAATCCTGAAAATCACCGTCCAAGTGCAATACCTGGAGATTTTTATTTGGTTAAGTGAACAGAGGAGCAAGTCCCCTAAGGCAGGAGACACTACTGCTCAAGCTCCACTTGATGGTTGATACAGGTGAGTTGAAAGGATACTGCCTTTCTTCTGGAAAGAATTTTGAAATAAAAGAGAACTGAAGAGCTGTTTCTCCAGGTGACAAATCACATTGGTATGTCCCTCACTGAGACTCATCACAATGATCTGGAATGCTGAAGTCCAGGAAGGACAAAAAGGCATAGTGCAGACAAGACAAAAAATTGAGTGTTTATATTAATGAAGAAAGGCAAGTAAGCCACTTTCACTATGCAGCTGGATAAGGTTACCACCTTTACATAAAACACTTAAATAAAAAGGATTCAAGTGGAGGTACTACCATGTATAAAAGTCAACTTAAGCTTCAAAAATGGATAATACAAGAAAATTTGATTCTCCTTTTCAAGTTCTGTTTTAGAAGGCATCTTACTCAGAAGGTTTCTAATAAAACAGTCCAAAAGTAATATTCATGATGCATTTAGTGACACGTGGATAGTGGAACACTGTGTAGTCAGTAGGTAATGGTCATCATTCAACAGGGCATGTGTACTGATGCACCTGTAGAACTCTCAGGCCTTCTGACAAGTATTGTCAAGATGAGTAAGCCTAGGTAAGTAACACCATGGTAAAATTAGTTTTTTAAGGGCACAGGACATTAGTTTTTTAAGGGCACAACTCAGTTTTCCAGATGTTTCTTGTTATTCATTAGCATTCCAGAGCAAAGCAGATTACTTTGACTAGAGTTAGACAAAACTGGAGCTGGAGTTTTAGTGCATCAATCAACTGAAGTATTCAAGTAAAGCCAGAACAGAATTTGGCTTTGAATGAATAAATTTAATTTTGTATCTAAATAAAAACCTTCAGTTTCACTAATGCTACCAAACCATATGCAAGATCCTGGCCTCACCACTGTTATATGGAACATAAGTACAGAATTTAGCTCTCTGTGATGGACTGATGCCAAACATACAACAACCAAGAATTAGCCTATAAAATTTGATTTACAAAGTGATCCTTAGATAAGAAAACCATTACAGAGCCTGCTAACAGAGGACTCAAAAAAGACCAGGTATGGTACCGTCACATTTAAATTTTCTTCCAAAAATTAAAGAAAAACAAAATAAAAGCTTCACAGTGAAATATCTGGTTGATAACATGGCTGATTGTGTAAATCAGTGTAGAAAAGAAGAAAAAAGCTCAAATTTCAACATCAGCTTCTTACATTAAGCCTTCTTTAAAAAATAGACAAATGAAAACAAAGCCCAAAAGCAAGCAAACAAAAAACTTAACTAAATTAAAAATTTGGTAGATCATTTAAACAAAAAGTAAAATTTGTTAGCTTAACATCATATCTAAAAAAGATGAATGCTCCTTCTTGATATGTTACTAAGAGAGTTCCATGAGATTTCTTTGAATTGTATCTTCCTTTTCAAGGAGGAGGATGAGTTTGTTGGAGGAGGATGTCCTACCAATACCATGATTTGCAGTGGTTCAAACAGAATCTTGGAAGACAAACTGAGTTTCCACCATACTAAAAATTCAATAAAATCAGAAAATAGTGGCAATCTCATTATTAGGATAACAGGAAGTTATCTAAAAAATTGTTTAAGGTGGTAATGGCCCCAGGAAATAAAGCCCATACCTGCAAAGTCTGGCGCACAATATTTGCTGTGTACATCAGCATGCACTGCAAAATGTCAAGCAAGGACAGGAGCAGAGCATTTGCTGTCTTGGTGCTGCTTTTATCATCTGCCTCCAAGTACAAAACCTTAGCTTCTGTTAGGAGATTACGGATGTGATGAGCCAGTCCTACAGAGAAAGTGAGCCAAAAAAAAAAAAAAGTTATCAGGAAGAGAACAATGTGGAAGGTGACCCAGATAAAAATAATAGATTAGGATAAAACCAAATTTTACATACATTATGAATATTTATTCCATTTCCCCTTTTTCTCCATAATTATCTCCTTTCTTATTCTATTTGGACCAGCTCATAAAGAGAGTTAAACTGATACAATCAGATTTCCTAACTGCATGAAAAATTATGTAACATTCATTAAATTAAAACATGCTTTGAATCCTAAACTTTTCTGTAGCATAGTGGTACACAAGATTCCTTCACAATACTTCACAATTCACAAGAATTTAGCCATTTCTGCAGTCTGTTACAAAGTGCCACTTTAAGGTGGCACAAAGTTTAACTGGTCTGCAATTAGAACCTTCCCCATATGCTTTAACTGTAGAATCAAACAGTGTTTAACATAAAATATATTCAGAAGAGCATTATAAATGAAGTACTGAATACTACACTTAAAATGTTTTTAAGATTTTCTTGACTGATGGACATAAAAATTTTGCTTAAAATTTCCTCTTGTTTTGAAGGAGCTTTTTAAAGCACTGTAGTGTATTAGTACACCAGCTTCTAGTCCCCATGACTGTCAAAAATTACTAAAGTATTCCACTGATTTCAGTGAAGTAAAAAGACCTATATTATAAGTTCTCCTTTAGAAAAAATCACTGTATATATTTTTACAAACATGGGTACATGATTAAAATGAGACATTGCAGAATACACTATGTGCTTACACCATTCAGCTTTTGAGAGCTGTCAAATTTGTGGGGCATTGAACTATTTTGGCTTTGAAAGATGCCCCATCAATTACCTAAACTTACCATGAAATATTTTTCTCCCTTATTCCTCACCCTTAATACTTTCTTCAAGAAATTAAATACAAACCCTTTCATTTAGAATACAGTTATGGTCCTAGATCATTAAGACTTGCACTCTCCCTCTATCTCACATGTTTTTTATGATTACTAGCATTATTATTTTTTTCACAACAGTTTGATTGATGGATGTCAGCTCAAGCTAAGCTTTGAATTTCCTGGAGTTTTGTCTGAATAAATCACGCTCTCAAAATTAAATCACTTTAATCTCACACATTTAATTTCCTTCTCCGTTTTCAGAGTGCAATTTTTGCTGCAGTTCTGAACACTTCATATAAAAATGAAATAGCACTCAGAAACACATTTCAGTGATGTCACCAATACCCACCAAGAAGAAAAAAAGAGATGTAACTGTATGTCTACCTGATACAAAATTTATAGTTATTCTATCACTATTTTCAACAGGCTAAATCAGAATAAACCTAAGAAAAGAGTCCAGTAAGACGTGGTCCCTATCGAAGAGATGTCTGAAAAACTGCCTGCAGGGCTCTGAACAAGTACACATTGTTTCTCCCTGTATGAGGCCACAAAACCGGCAGCCACATCAAAGTGAATGAGTCACCCCTTTCTTTCCGGATGGTTTACTTATAACCCTTACAATGTGACTTGGAGATGAACACTGAGAGGGCCACTTTCAAACACAGGCATTGCACTGTATGGGTCATCATTAAGAATTTTTTGGGCAGTAGTACTCTCTGCATTTACAGCACTAAGTAGGGAGCGACTAATAGTGAATGAAACACCTGGATCCACGGCTGGGATCTGCAATCCTTTCCCCTTCAGCTTTGAACAGGACTTGCTTATTCCCTTGACTGTACCAGCCTGAGTCTCAGAACTGCCTCATTTCTGCTGTTTGGTGAACAGGGAGGTGAATCAAACACTCAACCTTCTCCCTATCCATTGAGACATGAATAATGTAATTACCTAGATTTTATTCTCTTGAAGTATTTACCTCCTAAGGGTATGTGTATTAGCAACCCTGCCTCCAAACACCTGAGATATTCATGTTTACTTAGTTAACTAAAACATCAGAAGTAATGAATTTTATTTAGGTAGACACAAGCTCACACAGAACTATACATATAAAGATTTGCATAATAAATTTGGAAATTTGTAGGGGAAAAAGATTTCCTGGACTTAAAAAACCTGTGGGAAATTTAGCACCCTCAAATAAAACACTGGTGCAAAATGTTCCCTAACACGCTTCATGATTCATACAGAAACCTGATAAACACTTGGTTCCACAGATAAAGGCCACAGACTGACCACTTGGCCAAGTAAACAAAGTTCCAGGCATGGTGTTTAAAATACTTCACTGTGTCACAACAAAATGAAAATTGGAGGCCACAGTTGTAGATGTGTAAATAATATTCCTTGCTAAACCGCAGGACAAAATACACACTCTTTGTCCTCAGAAGAGAAAGTTGGGAAGCTGTGACCATGACAAAACTCAATAGAAGTTTAACAGCCTTTGACCACTGGCATTGTAACCAGTTTGCTCAAAAAGGCAGCTATAAAGATGAAGACTGACATGCCTCAGCATTCCAAAAATTGAATCACAGAACAGGTAGTCTGCAAAAAAAGCAAGCAATTCAAAAAAAAAGGAAATTGAATTCATAACCCTGTAAATCATAATATAAAAATCACATATGGATCCCTAAGTTTCAGAGGACACCTTGAAGGTTTCTTTCCCAAATTTTACAACAGATCCAAACCCACAATTTAATTTCCAATAAACCCTAAATCAATACTTATCGTTCAAAATTTTAGACACTACATTTCAGAGTTGTATTTAAAAGACACGGGTTTCTTATGCAGAATTCTCAACTCTTCATTAGAAAGCAAAATATGCGCTGATTCAAAGGCACACACTCCATGCACTCCTGAACTTTGCAAGTGGTGGATCTGAATATGAATTCTGTATCACAGAGGAGACGTAAACCAAAGTCAGTTGAGGAAGGTTGTTCTACTGGGACAAGCGACACATATTTAAGTTTTCTGATACTTCCAAGTATGCTGGCAATAGTTTACCTTCTCAAGGGAAAGGTGTTAGTGACAGTTTACATGAGTGAAAATAATGCACCATAATTTCTTCCAGCTAGGCATTTCTTCGTAAGGCAATTAAGTAAAAACTTATAATTTAACCTATTGCAGAGTTTTTTTGGTTACTCTATTAATTTGTCAATTTCTGCAAACAAAATATATCACACCGAATTGTTCGTAGCTTCAGTTATAGTCTAAATATATTACAATACTTCATAGTGCACTAGTCAGGCCTTGTATTGATTTGCAAAAGGACCTTGAAAATATCAAGCCTTGGTGCAGTTCAAATTTTGCTGAAAAATGAGGCAAAAATTGCATTCTGTATTAGAATTATTGTGCTTATAAATGAACATAACTTGAATTAAACAAAGAACCTTTTCTAACTGCAGTTCAAGATTCATAACATGTAATAAAGTGATTGTATACAAAATTCCTAGCCATGGATTTATAGCACTTGACAAACCTAGTGTTCACAGGAGGGTATTTCTCCTGCCCAGAGACCCCTGCAATGAACTGAACATGTCGCTAATAGTGCTTTATGAATGTGGACTCTGATGACTATGCCTGTGTTTTATAAATCTTTTCAAAAGATAAAAGGAGCCTTTTGGCCCATGATACAGCTAATCGGACTGAATGTGCCATGATACCTTCTGGAATGAAAGCTGAGAGGAGAGATTTTATTCTCACCTATTAGTAAGATGGATAAAGGAAAAAAAAAAATCTTCACTTCCCAATCATACAAAACATCAAAGGACAGCCTAGGAAGCAATCTTCTAGGCAATCCTTTCATGCCTACCAGCAATTAGAGCATTCAACAAACCTGTCTGCTTCCAGCTGAAGAAAATATTAGAACAGGTGCACTTTCTCCGAACAATGCCACCGCACAGCCAAGCAGCCAGCAGCAAAATGCTCAGCCTGGCAAAAAGGCTGTTCCTCTCCACACATTTCTCTCTGGAGAGCCATTTTCCCCATTTGTGTCACACCTACACAGCTGACTCCCCAGGGACATTACCAAATACATATTCACTAGAGTTTTCCTCATTCTTTTACTTACAGAGTGGACCTGCGATATTAACAGATGAAATAGAAACCATATTTTATAATCTTTTAAGTTTTAATGCTAAAACTCGAAAACATTGCTAAGAAGAAACACAGGACTGTATTATGATAGATTCTCGCACACAGGAATGAGCTCCTCAGTACTTGAGCACTTCAGATGCCATAAAGATTCTTCATAAAACCTTATTTACCTACATAAACCTGGGATTCAATTTGTATTCTTTGCATCTACTACTCATATTTTTTCTGTTTTGAAGAACTGAAAATAGACAACAAAAGGCAAATGGCATCTTTAGGGTAACAGCATTTTTAAAGGAGGCTCGTTGCTTTTAATGTTATTTTTGTTTATTATTTGTTACTGTTTTTGTTTTAGGAACAATATGCGTTAGTATTAAACACTGAGGTAAGACTAAACTCGAATAGCAAATTAGATCACCAATGATTTCAAAATTTGGTGAGTTATGAATGTTAGATCAAGTGGAAAGACAATGACAAAGCTGTTGAGCAGAACAATTGCATGACTGCTGCCCTGAAAATTGTTTTCTATTCTGATCTTTAAAACGAAAAGCATCTGAAGAAGAAAATTTTGCACATACTGAATAGTCTATTCCTACTACTGGTAGAGTGATAAGCCATTTTATGACTAAAGAAAGAATCACTAGGTTTGAGGGATAAAAGTCTCATTTGAATTTGTCATACTGAAGTGGTCAAGGCTCTGCAGAGCTTCCCTTTGTGGGAAGAGTCTGTGGCTCAGCTTTCCCTACACACAGGAAAGGTAGGACACTCCCCAACAGTGCCAAAGCAGGGAGTCCTGTCCTCACACACAGCAGAACGGGTGTGGGAAGGGTGATGACAACCAGGGAAAAAAAGTGGCAATATGTTTCTGCTTTGAGTCAAAGCACAACATTGGTCTACTTTACTTTTTGCAGGACTGGCAGCATTTAGCTGTTACTGTTGAAAGTCAGCTTAGAGCTGCCACCTTTC